CAAGATATAATATACAGAAGTTATAATTTGAAAAAGAATTTTCACTTTCTGAAATAATAATACCATAAACTTCGGGCTCCAAAAGGATATATACCAACAAAAGATTCTTCTGGCACATCATCCCTATATCTCATACCCATTTACATTATCTATTCCCTTCTATTTTTGTGTGCTTCCCCTTAAGTGATCCCACAGAGACAATGACTTTGCTTTGGCCCGAACCGAAGGCCAAAAAGGTTTCCCCCATTTCGGTGCTGGTCACATGCTTATGAGCATTTAATTAAATGCAAGAACAACAAGTCGGTGGAAACCGAAGATGGAGCCAGTCCAAAGACCAAAAACACTGAAGAGTGAAGACCAAAGACTGCATACTTAATGCAACAGAGTCGAGCAAAGGAAGCGGCGGCGAGGCAGCTGCATCGCTTTGGGACGCTCGCGAGTCCCAAAAGTTGCTAATTAAAAAGGCAAACGGCAGCAACAAATGCAACAGGAAGCAACATCAAGATGCGGCACGAACGAAAATGTTGTTAACCTTTTCAGCAGCAGTAGCAACAACAACAAGGAGCCTTGCTGTTGTCTTTTGACAAGCCAAGGAGCAAAATGCTATCACCAGGGACCCCAAAGAGCAGCAACAACCACCAGCAGCAGCAGCAACTGCAGATGCAACCGCCTAACGATCAATAGAACAAAAACAGAAAAAAAAAATAAAAATAGCCAACAGAAGCGGCAGGAGAATGGGCCAAAAGCAGCAGGCAGCAATGGCAACAGTTGCAAGTACAGTAGCTGCAACAACAACGACAATGTTGCAGCAACATTTTCGTGCAGTTGACATTCGTGCCAAGGTGGCCAAGAGCAACAAGCAACAGCAACAACAGCAGGAAAGGATAATCAAGTTCAGGAAACGAAGAATTGAATACCCTTCAAGGGAAAATAAATAATAACAGGTATTAATGACATTAGTAACAGTATTTTTTTTTAATTTAAAAAATTAAATTCAACGAATTTATATTCTTAAAATTTCTTTAAAATGTCACAAGCTTTTCCTAAAAATAATGCTACTCCCTAGGCAGCTCCTGGAGCGGTCGGCAAACTGTTGCAAGTTCTTAGAACGCGCCACATGCTGCGCAGACACGTCCGTCGCCATCGTCATCGCGTCCCTTCAGCGACTATTGAACTTGAATTTTAAGTGCCGCTCCCCGACTTCTCACCACTGTTTTGCTACCAACTTGGCCAAGATGCCACATATAAGATTTAAGGGAAGAGCAAGAGAGACAATGGTTTATTTTTAAGGGATATTTATAAAAAATGTCTAGGTAAATGAGACATTTTTAAGAATAAATGAAAAGAGCTCTTAAAAAATAGAAACTAAATTTTAGAACAGATAAAAAAGCTGAATATTTAACCTAACCTAACCCAATTGTAAATAAAATCACCCTCAATTCCATTTAGTTTTTACCATTTTAAAGCTCCTTTGATTCTAATTCCTTACTTATCCATCAACTTTTTGTTTGTCAAACTTTTCCCCTAAAAATTCCACGCAAAAAATACCGCTCACACAACAATTTCACCCCCCGCACAACAATAATAAATTTTTAACTTTCAAACCAACTAAAATAAAATTCCGAAAAAAAAACGCCTGGCAGGGTTGAAAGGGATGGGAAATTGGATTCGCACGCGCAGAATTTTCCAATAAACGATAAAATTAAATTTGCGTATAAAAGTTTATGCTGGCTGCCAGTCCCCAAAAAAAAAAAAAGACAGACTGCACTAGAGGTTGGTAGGGAAAAAAATAAAAAGGAGCTGTAGGATGGACTCAGACAATTGCAGCAGAAAATTGCATATGCTGACTGTGCCATGCCGTCTAAGAGGGGCAATTTCCATGCTAAATGCGCAGAAACAAGGCCAAAGGGGCGCTGGGCCAGCAAAAAAGCAGGAAATGCACCAGTCAAAGTCGTATAAAACACAAAAAAACTAAGGAAGGAAAATTGAAAAGACAAGAAACCGGAGGAAAATTGCCTTGAATCAAATATGCCAAAGGACAATGCAATTGAGAGATCAGCAAAGAAAAAGGGGACAAGGGTTTTTTTTGTCTTAGAAGATTTTAATGTTATCTAGACAGGATAAAAAGGAAGTTATATATATTTTTTAAATAAAAAGGGAATAAATTATTTAAATAATTTAATTATTAACTACTTTATTTATGAAAGAAAGGTATTTAAAACATTTTGTTGTCTCCCTAAAATGCTTTCTAATAATTCTCTTTCCACCTTATTATTGAACATTTAAAATCCTTTTTCAGAAAAAAAGGAATGCTAATCCAATAATCATTTCCTTTATCTACAAATGCCACTTTACATATTCCTTTTCGAAAGAGAGCAAACATTTAAGCCCTCACAAAAAGCTCGAAGTAATTCCCAATTCTATTGCCAGAGCATTAATGGGTCCACTCAAAGTAGTTCAACATGAAGTTCCACATTTTCCCTAGTTTTTTCTATCATTTTATTTCCCTTTTTTTAAGTCTGGTGTGCCGCCCACCCAAGTAGCAACTACTATTTTTTCCTTTGCTCTCTGGTATCTTCCTTGTGTTTTTTTCTGTATTTAAAGCAAATTAAACAAAATTGCGCGCAATAAAACTTAATGGCTAATTAAATGGGATGGGCTGGGCTGGTCCACAGAACATCCTCTCGAAAGCAGGATATAAAAAAGGAGGAGGAGGAGAAAAAAAAATGGGGAAAAATGGAAAAAAGGGGCGAAATTGCAACAGTGGCAAGAGCAGCTGCTTGCAATTTCATGAAGACCTTTTTGCATAATTTACAAGTGGCAAAAGTTGAGATAGATTTTTTTCTCTCCTTAGTTGCTGCTGCTTGTATTTTACAATAAGTGCCATTTGCTTTAATGAAATTATTCAGTTTATGGCTTCATGTAGGAGCAAATAAAGCCGAGTTAGTTCTTCCTTTTTTTCACACAGTTTAACTTCATTTATTTGATTGTTATAGAAACAAAAACAAATAAATGTGTGTAAATTTGTGAAAATTTGATTTCAATGATTGCCAGCTTTTATGTAGAATTAAATAAATAAATAAATGAATGAATCGATAAAGCCTTGTTAAAAGCCAATAAAATATATAAAAGTGCAAAAACTGAACATGAATAAGCTGAAAAATATTTGCAAATTAAATAGTAAACATTTTAAATTAACTTACTTTGTTAAATGATATATTTATTGCCTTTGTGTGGGTTGCTTACCTGAAATAAATAAGAAAATATATTGTTTTTAACTTAGTTTAATAAATAAAATATACATCTAGAAATTTAAATGGCTTAAAATGCAGTTTTACTTAATTTGGAACAATTTCTCCCATTCAAATTAGTTTCTTCATTTTTTGTTCAATAAAAAATCAACTTAAAATATCAAAAAAAATATTTCTTATTATTTATATACCTTTAAAATAAGTAATATGTTTCTTTAAGATTTTTAGTGATTTTTAATTTCATAAAAAATCTCTGTAATCTATTTGTTTTTACTTATATACCTTTAAGAAGAGTAAACTAATTTTTGTTATCAGTTTCCTTTTTTTTTCCACTTTAAAAATCTCTTTGACTACGATTAATTTTTCTATCATTCTCCGCTGTAGCTTTGCGAATACTTTCAGGTAGATCTTTTGTCAATCCAAGACTTAAGTCCTTCTGCCTGCTTTGCTTTGCTCCTTTCTCATTATGTCCAAATCCCACTTTGTCTGCTTAACATTCTTAAGCAAAACTTTAGCATAGTTCCTGATCCATTCACTGCCTTTTCATTTAACTTTTTCTTTTCTTTTCCTTTTCTTTTTTTATATAATTTTAATTAGCCCGATGTTGGTTATCTTTCGAGCTGCCTGCCTTACGCTCGACTTCTTGGAGAGGAACCCAAACCCAGACTCAGAGCCAGAGCCAGACCCATGGCATCCCTTCCCTGCCCGGTGTCCTATCTGGTCGGGATGTCTTGGCAGTCGGGCTCAGATAAGCGCGTTAAATTTCCAAATGGACAGCCAAGTGTCGGCCCCGAGAGCTCTGTAATCTGCATAAAAAAAAAGTACAACAAAAATGCTAACAAAAAATAAAATAAAAGTGTAGAAAAAAAAAGTAAGTAAGAGAAACTGAAGAAACCTCATGGGTAATTAGTGCATTTTAAACGTCTTTCGGTATTTGGCCCCGGCCACAGGCATCCACAGAATTGTGGTGCAAATTTTCCAGGCTATTTTAAGAGTTATGGGCATAGATAAATGGATTAGTCCGAGAGCCGCAAGATCTTGGAAGGGCCGAGGCCCAGAGTACAACAATCTTGCAGTGGACGACGAGCGGTGCTCCGGTGCTCTTTGGCGTTGTAAAGCGCAAAACGTGGTTCAAGTCGGACAGATCTGACTGGTAAACGCAGTCAAACGTGCGATAAATTCAGAGACCAAAGACCAGAAATAAAAGGAACAAATGTTAATTGGTTTGTGTCAATCTTGGGCTCGCTCCGCTGCCTCCCAACTCCAGCTCCTCCTCCTCCTCTTTGGATCCTCTCTAGTAGAACATCCAACCATCTGACCATCTCTTGGACTCTGGCTTCTTCTTCCGCCCTGGAGAAATTCATTTTTAAATTCCCGGACAGATGAAGTTGTTTAGCCGCCGTGCCGCCTGGCGGTTTTCCTACTCATCCTCCTCCTATTGCTGCTGCTGCTCCTAAAGATTTTTGCAATTTTCATTTCAATTTCTGTGGCGTGGCTGTGGCGAGCCGCTGAAAGCGAAATGATGTTCAAACCCATGGTCTATTAGAGCACCGTAGCACCAGCACCAGCTCCTGCTGCATCTCCATCTTCATTGCCACTCGCATGACCATCCTCAGAACCATCCCCATACCCATTCCCATTTCCATCCGCATCCCCATCCCCTTCCCCAGATCTAGATGCATTACTATATCGTGGGCTCTGATTAGTTTGTTCACCTGACGACCTGACGGAAGTGAGCGTGTCGTTTTGAGTAGCAATTTCCTTTGAGGGAAATGTCACTGAAAATAAATACTTTAAATTTAGTCCCAAATTTAGTGTCAACTCTTAAACAATATATCAAAATGTTCTTTGGCTCTTCTAACATTAAAATATATATTTTTCTGTTTTTAATCCGTTTGGGCCAATGCTTTGATTTCCCATATAAATGTGGAGACTGTGCAAAACAGAATGTGAAACTTTGCACGATTGAGAAAGAAATTGGATACAGTTGCTATACAAAACCTTCGGATGCTACGAAAACTAGTTCTATGTTTCTAGCACGTTCTGCCAACTTTTCTCAAGCTAAGACCGATTTAGAAAGAAAATGGATACCCGAGATAGCCCCGATGATTGAAAATGTAAAAGCATGCATTCCACGTGGCTTACATATAGGTAAGAGAGGTTAGATATTATATATTCACATGTACTATATATTTTTTTTGAATTTTTGCAGATGTCGGTGCCGACATTTGCTGTGCTTGGTCGCCAATAACGGGCTGCCAATTGGTCTTGGCCAAGGACCATAAGGGTGAATATTGCTCTACTTGCAGAGTACAAAATCCAGAATACAAGGGCTTGAACGTATGTCCGTGCAAATCGGTAGGTAAATCGGGATCCGGACAGCTCATCTCGGGCGATCTGAAGATACTCATCAGCATGGCTTTTGGTTTCTATATACTGCGGACAATTTTAAATTTATGTTGATATTTCCAAAGCGATTTGAATAGAGGAATATATAGAATATATAAATCTCTTTGCTTTTATTAATTTCCTGAACATTTTACATCATAAATTAACCAAAAGTGAAGGCTTCAAATAATTTGTCATGCAGGCAGACAGGCAGGAACACTTCCCGATTCCCCAACTACCATCATCAGAAAACAAAAAAGAGTGAGAAGCACGAACGAACCGTCTTGGCCCTGGCTGTACCTGCATTTGAAAAATGATCAAAAAGCGAAAATGCCGAAAACGAATCTGAGACCAAGTCAAATAGGCAATGGGGCAGAGGCGAAGAGAGGAGAGTGGAGCCTGGCTCTGGCATTGCCATTTTCGGGTCGCAAATCCCTTCAACTTTTGTTTGATGTCCCTTAACTGTGTCCCCAACCCCCCATTCCCCATACCAATCCCCTTCGGATCGGATCAGAAGAGGATGCGGGCCAGGAGCGGTCTCCTTGAACTGCTCGCCTCAACTTGTTCCAAATGTCCGAAACTGTCCAAAATGTCTGTTCAAACTGTCCGGGGCGCAACTTTTATGGCCAGGCGATGGCAACAGCGGCAGAGTTGATTGCACTCTTTGCTGAAAAGCCCGAAGGAAGTGCAAACAAGAAGCGTTAGTCCAAGCCCCGACAATTAGATACCCGCTACTAGCCTCTGGAAATTATTGCATACTTTAAGGGGCCAAATTATTGACATTTTTTTGACAGAGTTATGGTCAAAAGTTAAGGGTTATTTTTGGGGAATTACATAACCTTTGTAAGCGGTATTAAAAGCCCCTCTGAGATCCCCAGCTCGTCTTGACACAAAGTTCTGTTGATGCAGATGATGATGGCAATGGGTTTGCTTCTGAGCCGAGGACATGAGTAATTAACACCCACGTGATAGTGGAGAGTTGGAGCCACTGGCTACCACTTGACACTAAGCCAACCGGTGGCCCAAGTGGGTGTGGGTGGAGGTGTGAAAAGGTCTCTTGGACTGCCTTGCAGCCATTTACATGCTACTTTGTAGGCCCCAAGGCCTTAGAGATGATAGCCCCCCAAAATGCTTTAAAAACCAAAGAAGCTTCTTTTAAAATTTATAAATATTTTTAGGTTTTTTAGAGACTCCTAAAATAACTCTAACCCATTTTCTGCTATTTTATAAATTATTAAAATCGAAAATAAATTTTTAAAATTCGAAACCAGAATATATTTCAAATTTTAGTAGATTTCCCTGCGATATTTTCCAAAAATCCAAACACACTATCATCCTTAACTCGACCAAGTCAAGTGCCTGTGTGGAACCGAACCGCAGAATGCCGCTCTCTCCTCGCTACCCCCCTTCAAGTGTGTGGTCTTTGGGTCCCTTGGATCTGAAGCCTGGTTGCCTGCTGCCTGCCGCCTGAAGTCTAAAGTCTGGAGAGCTGGGATCTCTGAGCTCTGGGATGCACTGCAGTGCGACAGTCGCTGATACGCACACTTCACATTGAATTTCCATTTGCTGTTGGCCGAACAAAGTGGCCGGACGACTGGCAAACTCCAACTCCCGGCTACTTGGAGCTTGGCTGCATTTGGTTTCCATCGATTTTCTAGGCACTTTGATTGTTTTATTGTTGCATTAAGTGCTCGAGGGTTCCGTCTTGGACCAATGTCTGTCCATTTGCCGAACCAGCCAACCACAAAAATGCAATTGACACTTTGGTGTGAAGTGCTTAGGCCCGGCTCGTTGCTGCGGGCCTTCTGCCTGATTTCTGTTTAATAGATACATTTGCATCTGGCGGATGCGTCCTGCCCAGGGCCATTATGATGGGGCTGCTGCTGCTGCGTTTTTCTAGCTGGTTGCCAGCCTCTGCTTGAGTGGAAAATTGTTTTCGGTTAATTCCTCACCGAGATCGCCCCCGAGAGAGGGGAACGTTTACCAGATGTCTGACATGCTGTGGGTTCTGGGATGCTCTCAGAAAAGGTCGAAATGGATTGGTGGAAAGGTTCTTAAAGGGGTTTTACTGGAAGGGTTAATATTTGAAGAAATATATAAATAATTTTATTTTATTTTACTATCAGTTTCCTAAATCATTTTTCACCTTAAACTTTAAACTTTTCTGTACTTAAGCCTTCACAGTTCTGCCTTGAATTTCCCTCAGCTGGCCAGAGTCCCACTTAACCCACTTGATCCCACCAACCCGACCATATGGAGGATTCGCAAATCGCGTGGTCCACAGCTGGGTTGAAGCACTCATGCACAAGGCTGTCCCCTACTGACAACAGCGGCGATGACAAGCCGGAGGAGGAGTCAAGGAAAAGGGAAGGGAAAGGGAGGTGACTCCTGCTCGACATATCTGCGCTGTTGTATAAATACACTCCCGGCCATAGGTTGCAGTACTCCCTTGCTGTTGCTGCTGCTGCTGGTGCCTTTGCCTGGTGTCCTGCGAATTGCCATTACAGGATGCGACAACAACAGCAAACGGCGTGGAGTAAATATCGTTTGGAATCGAAACCATTGAAGCCAAATGCCTCAGGGCAGGCACACTTAAACAAATTTTGATTTGATTAATAAAGATTAAATATTAATTACAAATAAATTTAATTAAATATGTTCTAATTTAAATATTTATTCTCCTAATTAAATATTAAAAATGATTTCCTTGCCACTCTCCCTTCAAGGTAATTCCTCATTTAATAACTTCATATTATCTCTCTCAGTGTAATCACAGTTATGTCAGCGTTACCCTGTTTGGATTTCGGTATACGACGAGGTTCATTGCATACTGCCTCGCTGTCCTTTTCTACGCTGCGGTTTAAGCCGATTTTGCCGATTTTCCGTTTGCATAACACACCCGAAAGATACAAAAATTGAGAGAACTGCGTTTCTTTTTTGGATAAATGCAGGAAGATTTCGACAACCGCGCCGAGTCATGAATAAATTCAACCGCGAATTATTTTTTAATATTAATGCCCAGGACCCAGGACGACCACGACCACAGAACTGAGTCTCTGATATTTCCCTTTTTCGAAAATGAGTGGTAATTGGGTGAGAAGAGCAGGAGGCGCGAATTTTGTATTGTTTTGCGGTTGCCGATGATGAGTCTGGCTTTTTTTTATGGCTTAAGATTATATTAGTGGAACAAAATAAAATAAAAATGTGTAAAGTAGAGGAAAAAACCATATTTAAAATATTCCCTTTAGGCAGATGGCTTAGAGGTGCTGCAAATAATATAAACTAAAAAGTTTTCCTAGTGAAAATATAACCACAGATTCTTGTTTCTCAAAGAAAATATTTTTTAGATTTTATAAAGAACCTATAACTGTCTTTAAAAATATCAACAAATATCTTTAGATTTTATTTGTTGTTTAATTTCCCTTACATTTCGCATCATTGCTCAGCACATTAACACCTTTCCAATGCCTGAGATCCTGAACCTCTTTCCTTTTTCTCTTCAACTTTTGCGCACAACTTAAATTAACCAAATTTAACGCATCGCAAATTTTTAGCACTTCTTCCACAACCTACTCCTTTTTTACTCTTTTTTTCTGCGTTTTCCGCAGTCATCGGGGGCTTGGTGGGCGGGGAGGTAGGGCACTCGTGGGTTAAATAGTAGGAGGCGCGGAAAGCTGGCAAAGGCAAAAAAAAGGCGCAAGCCAAGCTGAAAATTGCTTAATCCTGCTGACAAGACAGACTAGCACTAAAAAGGGGAATTAAATGTCCGGCGGATGGGGGAGGGGGAGAAAGGGAACACGCCGGAAGGGCTAAGGAATCTCCCTCTGGTCTCGACAATCTTTATGGATGTTTTGAGAAAGGCCGCCGGAACCGAACGCAATGCACTATGAGAAAAGGGGAATACTTATTTACAATTAATTTAATTTATTTGAAAATTTTAGCTAAGCATAAGAGTTGAATTCATATTCAGAGGGTATATGTATCGACGAAGTAATCCCTAAATTTATTATTTACAATAAAATTTCACCTAAGTGTGTCCTGGGGCTTAACGATCGAGATAATTCCTAGGGTCTTGAGAAAGTTTCATTAATAATATTTCCCAGATAGAAATATACTTCTATGTAATAAGTGCAGAATTTTATATGAAACGGGGAGCGTAAAATTCATGTACCTGAATCTCTAGCTTACCACATGATGAATTGGGCATGTACGCCTAAGATCATTGGCTGTTACAAATAGAATTCCACACATAAATATATGATTTGATTTACTATTAACCAAGGTTATTAAAAACATATATTATATAAAACTATATATTATACTCTGTAATAAAACAGAGAAACCTTTTTAAAATTTTTAAAATTTCTTCATAATTTCCAAAAGGTTTCTCAAAGCCTGACTTGGGGGATTTCTGCTGACAGTGGGCGTTGCTGCGCATAATTATGCAAGCAGGAAAGAGGGAATAAGGTAATAAAGCCATGAATCATCAACTGCAGGCGGCGACTGGACCTTCAGCAGGTTCCGCTCCTTCGGCCTAAGCCTTTAGACCACCGATATAGTCCTGTGGACGCTGAGCTGAGAAAATGTTGACGGATCGTAACATTGGTTATTTGTGGCCTTGAGCAACAAATGCGGTAATTGAGTTTCGTGTTTTATGAGCCTAGTCTCGCTAGCTTTATTATCTGGTCGTAAGAGCGTCTTTCTTGGCTCGCGAATAGAAATGTTTTGTGCTTAAAAGATTCGCACTGATCGTATAATTAGAATGATGAAGCGGCGGCGAAGGCGGCGGCGGTCCTTAAAAAACCCTTAACAAAGCCCCACTTTAATTGAATAGTTTTGTGGACCCTCGAGTGCTGGGCCATAAATCAAGCCATTATAGGACGCGCCTGAACAGGGCACTAAAAGGGTTTATTGTTGTTCCTATTTATTAGAGAGCCAAGAGGTTCTAGTATCCCCAAGCAATATTATTTATTGAATCTTAAGTACAAGCTATAAATGAAGAGCCATTGCCTTAATATACTCTTATTTCCCAAGTTCTCTTAAGGAACCTCATGCAAATTACTCCGCATGACCACGACTTGGAACCAACCCCATAAGGTAGGTAATTATTAACAATTCGC